ATATAAAAGAGTTGCTTTTTCAATAAAATTAAATTAAATAATTGAAATTTTTTTCTTAAATATGTTTACTGTTGGAAACGCGAATCGTACAATAGAAGCTAACTCTGCAAAAATAAATCAAACAGCAATATAATTGTGTATTAGGATCACTCAGCATTTTACTGATCATTTAACCATTTGTCATTGTACATTAGACTTCTCAGTTACAACTCATTTATATCTTAGGCTCTACTGATGAGTTATGTTTTACTAGTATTTTGTGATTTGAATTGCCATTTATGCATCGCTTTTTCATAATTTCGTTTGTAAGCTGAGTTTCAGTTTCTGCATATCGTCTTTGTTTTCACTTTACAAAACTACCTTTTGTAATATCGGGTTCAGCTGATGTTTTGCGTTGAATTTTACTTACACCACATGACGACCATTCTTACCAACCTCTTCAAGGAAGAGGGAAGTCACTTCGAACAACATTATTGAGATAAAGACAAAAATCGGTTGCCTCGGTCTCGGAATTGGCGCAATCCCGTCGTCCATCATGTGAGCTGAAAGCGGGGAAGGGAGCGTGTTTCACTGCTCTCAACAACGCAACCAATCGTTTACTCGTTACACACACCGCTTCCTTTTTAAAAATATAGTCAAATTTTGATTTCCTATTTGGAGAACTTGCATTTGATTCTTTAATTTCTCTTCCTCAAATATATAGACCTAATTTGTCTTCCACGACGACGAAGTAGCACGACGCTAAAAGAACTTTTTACGAGAAGGATCAATGTAAGACAAGTAAGCTAAATCAATTAAAAAATTGCGAACGGACCTATAAGGTACGCTAGCACGCTTGAACAGTTACGTTTGAACGCGATTGGTTCTATTTTCTCAATTTTTTCCTGAATGAGAACAAATGTAATAAAAAGTAAAGCTTCACTTTATCGATTTCGTAATATGTGCTGTGCCAGCTAAATGCCTTCGTTCTTATATTTTTCTCTTTACCAATAATTAAAAACTAAATTCTACCATAGCTGGCCTGTAAATTGACATTGCGCCAACTTGCAATTCGCTATCAACCTAGTTTTAAATACTTCGAAGAATACCGACTAGACGTGATTTTCGAATAAGTCATTTTTGTGTAACGCTTATATCGTAGAGCGCATACTTAGCTATTTTATAAAATAACATGACACATATTTTGATGGAATATCGATCCAGATACGAAGCAAATATTTCCATAAAACGCAGTGAGCATTATAAAATATTGTTTATTAAGTTTCTTAATTGCTATAGTTACTCAATTGACTGATGATAATAAATATTCGAAATGATTTTTGCCGTTTCTTACGTTGTTGAGTGGGAAGTCTGTGATGCACAAGCAAAACGAAAAAAAAATAAAAACGAAACAAAAAATAATCATCAATTAATATTAAAAATTCATTATTAAAAATAATAATATCATTAGTGTATGTTATGTGTTATGTGTACTTAGGTATATAAGATTTTTGTTTTTATTTGTTTAATTAACATTATTAATGACGAAAGAACGAAAATATTACAGAAAAACAAAAAGGGCAACCAAACCATGCTTTTCTAAAAATACCATAGCGTATGTGATTTTGTTTTTTTTTTTTTCTGAAACCTATGTAGTGACTTTTAACTTACATCAAGCGAAATTATCCAAATAAATATAGTTAATGCAACATTTTTCCAATTCAAGAAACATTTGTTCTGCAGAAATGTCTTCGCGTGAAGTATACATAATATTTATTGCATATTCGCTCGACGTAAGGGAAAGAGGCTACATCAATTTTTGACTGTTTAGTACGTTTTACTATTATTAATAATATTTAATGTTAATTTAATATTAATGTTTTTAAATGTATAATTAAATGATCAACTTGCTTAAATTGTTATTTTAATTTTTTTTTCATTTTTTTTTAGTTTTTTAGTTTTAAATAAAAGAAACTACAACCAACGTACAATTTACGTATTTATATAAATATATTTTTACAATCTCAATTAAGTATAAAAAAATTGTTACTTTAGATTTTAAATATAAAAAACTACAAAAACAAAAAAATGTATTAAGTGTTATTATTTTCATAAATTTTCAAGTTGCACAGAAGAACTACAAAAAGAACAACATTTTCGGAAAATGGTATTTTTTATACTAAAAATTTTAAATGTAAATATTATTATTAATGCTTCCAATTTATTTATTGAGATGTGTGCACACCTACACATCAAAGTACATGAGAGAGGAAATGAAACGTTGTTTAGATCATCTTTCAAGCGGTTATTACACAATTAAAGGCAAACAATATCGATATCATATGCAATAATTAATATAAACCCAAATAAAACAAAAGAGCAAAACAAAATATATAAGAACAAGCCACAATTGTTAGCCCAATAGTAGAAAAGAGGAACCTTATAAAGTTAAATTTAATTCCAAAATTCACGGAAATCTGTAATAGCTGATTATTTATATCCGCATTTAAAAGCAACTGTAGTAAATTTTTTTTTAAATAATATATAAATGATCTTTCCTTGTTAAATAAATATAATGCATAAAAATGTAATAAATGAATGAAAAATTTAAAAATGCTTTTAACTATTTTAATTTTATTTAGCTTTGAAATGGAATATATCCGTTTGGTAAGTTATACATTGTAATAACAGTTAAATAAATACATTGTAACAATACTTTTATATAAAATTATATATTGCCATATATAAAGTGTTGATGTTATCCATTTACTTCCTTTGTTTGTGTCTCTGCCAATATCAAAATTAGGTGCCTTTTCAGGTAACTAACCAATAATAAATCGTCCTTGTTTCTTTCTATACTCTAACTTACCAAATATGTCAAATCCTGCATTTAAACATGTCCGCATATACGTCCGTTCGATCAAATAACTCACTCATAGCACAGCGCAAATCGAAGACAATATTTATATTTTTTATTCATTCATTCAGACGTAAACAGATATAACGATAAAAATGTGCACATACACGCTATAAATGATGCTCTAGTACCTTTGTAAAAACGGGATACCCTCTCTCAATATTATAAAATATAGAAATTTCATCCCTTTGTGCAAATATTTACAATGTCCAGAAAGAAGTTTCAAAGACTCTATAAAGTACATATTCCTTGAAGTCGATCCAAGTATACTTGCCGGTGCAGCTTTTTATTTTCCTATGGTAAACACTTTCCTGTACGAAAAATTAAGATATCGGCTACAATTTTCTTAAAAAACCATCTTAAAGCCAAAAGTTAATAATATATGTACAAGATTTGTAAAACCAACCATGCTCGCTCAGTATTACATAGTATCGAAATTTCATTTTTTAAGATAAAGCCGTTGAGTATAAAATAAGCGGCGTAGCCGAACATAATTTTCCGACATGTTCGTTGTCGTTTGCTAACAAGGGGTTTATGTGTTCTTCTTTTCCTTCACTTAAAAACCAAACGATCTGCCAAGTCCAACGAAGCCAAGTAAAAGTCCAGTACCGGCGTCCGTCGCTTAATTCGTACTATGCTGTATCGAAAGTGTCTTATATGAAACCTTTTTATTTTTTTATATAAAGTAATATACCGTATAGAAAAGCAAAATTAATTAATTAATTAAACTTAGATATAACGTAGATCAAAATTATACACACCGAGTCGCATCGAAATCAAGTCTTGAGGTGTAAAATTTCATGATGAAAATTTTATTATAAAATTTCATTCCAAATGCAAATATTGTACCGTGTAATACCGAAACTGTGTTTTACAAGTACCGTGGTACATGAGGAACATCTGTATATGTGTGATATGCATGAAAACCTCTACTGTTTAGAATTAGATATTAAGGCCAAAACTTGAAGTCATTGCCTTTTAGCATATTAGCATTAGCTTTTTGACTAACGGAATCGAATATTAATATGTTCAAATAGAATTTTCTAGAAAGCATCTATTTCAAATTTAAAACCTTTTTCATTGTCTTCCATCACAATGAAGAACTTACTAGCGTGAAAATTAGAGTCGCATACATCAAACCGAATGAATACTAATTAAATTCCTTAACCTTTAAATATGACTTTCACTTTCATTTGTTTGCTAATCTTACTTTATGCGCAGGATACCATTCATTTTCGTTCAAATTTCGTTTTTTGCATGCGCTACATCGGTCTTTCTCTCAACTATGTCATTGCAGACGGAAGCAAAATATATAGCCACCAATTTGACCACAATAATTTCTTTAGAGTTGAGCTTGTAAAAAAAGAAACCCTAAGAATATTGTGTGGGTATTTTAGGATAGAAAATTTGTAAAATGATGTTTTTATACAATTTTGTATGTGTAGTGTTGTTTATCTAATGTTGCCTGTATATAAAAAGCAAACAGTATCAGAAAGCGGCGACGAAATTGATGCTTAACACAAAGAAAGACGAATGTCAATTTTCGTCGTCAGAGAAAACGTAACAAACTGTAACGAAATTTATATAAACGATTGCGAGTTGACACAATGAAGGGTCATTTTCGTTTTCAGAATATTGTGTTAAAGTGTGTGTGAAAATGTAAACAACACCCAACTAAAGAAATCAAGGTAAACGTAAATAACAAATTTATAAAAAAAGAACAATCAGAAAGTTAATATAAAAACAAACAAGATTGTTTATTGATTCGTGATAAAGAAAATTGATCAGATTTAGGCATATTCTAGTGTTAAACCACCAAACAAAGTTGAAGTTCCGGCCTGAAAATAGTTTCAAGATTACAATGAGATTTTGCTTTTTCTCGATTTCACAACAATGCAACACAAAAGAATAGTTTATGCCATATATTCATTGCATATTCATTCTTAGCTATAGGCAACCATACGTTTGCATAAGAAATTGTATTGGCAACGCTCATCAGAAAAATTGTAGAACAGTTCGCCGGCTTTGTATAACATAGTAGAAGTGAGAAAACTTTCTAAAATAATTAATTGCAGATATAGAAGTATATTTATTACCATTTTTATAATCGAGATTTACACTTTCGGTGTTCTTATCTATAAGGGATTCGCGGAAGCTGTCGTTAAATGTAAGTGCAAAGCCATTATTATGTTCATGTTTGCAGAGCAAACATACACAGACACTTCGGCGTCGGTTGCTATGCTTTGGAGGTTGTGTTTTATGCAAATAAAACAAGAAAGTTGTATTTTAATGTCACCAAATCTTTTACATCCGACATATTTATTTTAAGAATAACAATGGAAAACAATTTTCATGCTCCATAATAATAATAATAAGGGTCGGATGGATGTTTTTTTTTCAATGTTGTACATCTGAAAAAGGCTCATCTATATATGTGGAAGTTTCGATCGTTGTATGGTTTATATGTATAGGGAACCAAAAATCTAGAAATCAAAGCTGTTGTTTTTATTATATTGTGCTATAAGCGCATTCTTTATCCGATATGCTCCGTTTTCAATACAAATCTGCCTGAACGATCTTTCAATTGTTCGCCCAATGTCAAATTTTTGTTATCGAGAGAATGTCTTTATATACGCCAGACGGACGGGCAAACGATTGTGAGTTTAATTAAGGGAGTTTTCTTTTGGGATGTTTTGACAATGTGATTGCACAACCGGTTGTGGATTTCAAAAGAAATTTTATATAGAAAATTTATATATTTAGTCGATTTTAACTCAACATCAAAAAAAAAACTATAGGAACTTTATATCGTATCTTTTGCAGCAACAGAAAAAATTTCGTATATCTTTCAAGAATACCCTGTACAAGTATAACGAATTTTATAACTTAGCTTAGTCGTGGTCTTTTACGAGAAGTCTTGCACAGTCTGAGCAGTCTGTTACGTGATGGGATGAATAACCTAAACTTAGAATGGTTTCAATATTATAGTAACATAGCGCTGAGCCTTCGGACAATATGGATATATATGAAGCCGTAACATATAATTTTGAAAATGCGGTTAAAAAACGTAAAACGAGTGGGTCAGCGTTGGTAACAAAACCTCACTGTCTTGTGAACTACAATGTAATTGGTTTTAAAAGTATATAAGGTAAAGCAGTCTTCATTATGTCGTTGGGGTGTACACAACCAACTTCAGCGTGTACACTCAATTCAAATTAAGAAAAGAGTCAAACGTAACCTAGAAAGTAAAAAATTGAAAAAATCGTAATAAAAAAGCATCAATATTTCATCATCACGTGAAATTTTGAATATCATCAATGGATTTCTATAAAGACTAGATAATGGAAAAAAATTTAAGTTAACAGCACATTACTCAATTTAACGTAAACAATTTCATCACCAATGAGTTAAACATAACCTAGAAAGCAAAAAATCAAAAAATTTAGTAAAAAAGCATCATTATTTCATCATCAAGTGAAATTATGAATATCAGCAATGGATTTCTATATAGTTACTGGATTATGGATCTAAATTCAAGTCCAAAAAGGTCCAATCCATATCAAATGCAAACAAAAAAAAAAAAGAAGGAAATATTAGGTAAGTCATAAGACATCGCACAACATAAATAATTTATAAACAGAAAAAATTAATAAAATATTTCATGTATGGTACTCACAGCAGTTGTCTGATTCGTTGACAACTTAGGTGGCCATTAACATATTTGTACGAATGTTGTTAAGTGAAAATAATGTCTATCTGATGTAATCTATCAAGCTTTGCTAACTGTAACGCGAGTAAAAAAAGTGGCAGTATGCATATACTTGAAAAGACATATACAGTCGAAAGTAATTGCATTTTAAAAATGGAGGAGAATTCTGAAGATGTATTCGAAAAAATATCGGTTTTATAAAAATGTGTAAACTTAGCGGGGTTGTGACAACATTTTTAATATATATGTTTGAGACGCTGGAATTTTCATATTGAAAGCAAGTCAAGTCGTTTTCGTTCTACAAATTTCGGTGTTAAAAATGCTATGAGCTGCGGTCATCTAACTCTTAATAGAATTGGAATTCCCTTCCTTTGTGCTGAGAAACAAAGTGTTTCGTCTTGAAATTTTGTTTTTGTTCTTATTCTTTATAAATGTTAGCATTTTGTTATTATTGCCAACTACTTCATATGAAATTATTTTTCTCTTTGCAGGAAATTCTAAAGTAAGACGTGTACGTCGAAAAATTTGAAATGATCAGCGGTCGGTTGAAAGTTATGAAAAAGATATGTAATTTTTATTGCTACGTCACAGTCCATAAAACTTCTTCCATTATCTGCTGAGATAGAAATTTGGGTGAGTGATAAGAAAAAGCTAATTATTGATTGCTGGAAATCATTGTATGAATTTTTCAGACACTCGTCCGCATCTCCTTTGAAAATTTATATCACGAGACCGTGCGCTTGAATGTTCGCAAAAATCATTAATGTTTCTTTATATATCAGATTGGTATCTGCAATCACCAGTATTTCTGATTACTTGTATTCGTAAAAACAATGATGTACAAAGGCAATCAAATGTGATAACGATAAACGATTCAACGCTAGTACTTAAACTTGCACAAACAAAATGTATCTTTGAGCCTTCGGCGTTTTGCCTAATGCTGTGTGCGTTACGTGCTTGTTGGTATATGTGATGAAAAACTCCACAAGGAATTGCTCGTTTTGGAACATTTGTAATGATAGAAACGTTTTGTGCAAAATAGGAGAGTTGACTTCGCTCATTAGAATCAGCGTAACACAAAGCTTTTGTCGGCAAACGATTTCGACATACGAATGCAAATGATTTCGATAAATACGAATGGTAAGTTTCAAATTATCTACGTATAAGCGACGATTCTCAAAGTGATGTTATATAAACGGCTACTAATATTAACAATCGAATATAATAACTAAATCATGACAAGTGGAAAATAATATAGTTTTTGTAAAAGCCCTTATTGTTCCAGTCAATTGCAAGCAAGCAAATGCTCTTAGTATTCATTTAAGCGTAATTTGCAATTTGATAAATATGCGAAGAATATTTCTAGCAACATAAGATTACAGAAGACTTAAAAAATATTTAATTATTTTCTTTATAAATTTTGCATTTCTTACCATTTAATAACAGTTATATAATTTTAAAGTGCGCATAGAAAAGAAAGTAACATAGCCAAGCAACTTTAATGGAGATTTTAGAGGGCTTATGACGACTATTTTTGCCCAAAACCTGGTGCTGGGGTAGCTCAGCGGCTTCAGGTTTTGTACAAAGAAGAAATTTCTTGAAAGTATACCTTTTTAGGGAAATATATTTCAGGATTTCTTCTTTTACATTTTATATTTTTACACTTCCTCAAAGTATTCTTCTCTTCGGAAAATGTATTTCAGGAATTTCTCCTTTTCATTTTACATTTCACACATTCCTTCAAAGTATTCTTTTGTTAGGAAAACCTTTTTCAGGAGTTCTTCATATATCATATTTCACATTTCTTCAAAGTATTCTCTTCATAGGAAAATATTTTCGTTCCCTATATCAAAGCACGCCTACTCCTTCGCTCACCTCGCTACCAATTTTTTTTTCTGGAATTTCGTGAGATTTCTTTCAAGTACAATTACCCTAAATTTACCTGAGCGATCAGCCACTTGTTTGTAGGTTTTCCTTTGATGATTTATACAAAATTTCTTTATCCTTTAAGCTTTTTTTTCGTCGATTTATACAAAATTTCTTTTATTTGGTTGTTATTTTCTTTTTGTTTTTTCGGGAATTTGATGCGATTCCTTTTCAATATATTCTTAACTCTTAGCATAGAAACGATTTTCCTTTATGTACGGAGACTATTGAAAAACAAAATTTTATTTTTTCAGTTTTCAAGAACGCTTGGTAATTATACATCAACCAAGTCGTTATTAGAATAATTTTGTCGAGACCAACACCAACGATATGTTAATAACGAAACAAGTAAAGAAACAAACATTTTTACCCGATAGTATGGAACAATAATGAAGACGTCTAGAGCAGTACATTTTCCTTCCTTTTACTGGAAGCGTTTCGTTGTAGGGTCTGTTTGTTTAAATGTTTTACGGAAGTAAGCCAAGTGTTAGTTTCATAGTTATTCATATTCACTGAAGAAATTTTTATTTACAGTTTTACACTTTTTTATAACATTGTGTTAGTTTACAATTTGAGGAACTTTTTTTATAATTGTATGAGCTGATTTTCGTTGTGACTTCAGTTAATAGTTCCAGATTGTTATTCTTATGGGGTTCCTAAAAAAAAATATATGTTTTAAAAATAAAAAAAGATTCAGATTTTAAATAAAACAAATTCGTTACTTACTTTTCGATTAGTGTTTGCCTTGTCTTATCTGCACAAATTTAGCATATTATGGTAGAACCGCACCGAACGCATTTTAGTGGCGATTTTGTTTTCCTTTTCTCTTTCTCCTCTTTGATGATTTCGTCGAGGCTCATTGCCGTTTTTCTCATTAATTCTTCTGAAAAGAAAAATAATATTAATAGTAATTTTTAATATAAATTAAAATGTACCTATTGGTAGACTCATTTTGCTTTTGTTTACAGGCGCGAAAACAAATTAAAAAGAAATTCCTTTTAAATTTGTTGTTGGTTCGCAACGTTGCATTTGTTCAAAAAGAAGTTTTCATGAGACTCTTTACTTTCATTGCCGGCTGAGTATTTGTCTTTTTCTGACAAAGAAATAAAAATAAAATTAAAGTCCCGTCGGTTGTCTGCCGTCTGTCTGTCCACTGTAAGTCAGTCGGTCGTCGTCTGGCGTCGGCCCTACATATGCACACCCCCTTTCTCCTTTCAGCTACAGCGGTGGCAGCTGTAGCGCTTAACTACTCATCGGGGACACAAAACAACAGGGGAATAAATAACTAAAGTAACTTACAATACAATCCTCTCGCGATGTCGTGGCTGTCTCCTTCGGCGGCTCCTGTCCACGGCAAGGAAGTAGGAAGTTCGTCTCACGTCGTCGGCACAATCACAACACAGCTGGGATGTAGGTGCATGTGGGTGCACGTAATTCATAAGCTACTGGAAAATTATTCTTCTTCCTCTTAACACATCTTGATTGAGGCAAACACATTGATCCTTGTTTTTTTCCTTTATTTTTATATAGTTTTACAATCGTAGAATTCAATATGTATATAAATATTTTTTTTTTATTATTTAAAAGGGAAAAAGAAGAGAATAAAACACTCATATCCCGCAAGATCATGTGATTTATAAACAGTATCACAAAATCGCATGATTTTGTCTAACGGCATGCCGTTATTCCGATACTTGCGGTTGATACAGACCGACAGACACCCTACCCGAGGTTTGTTCGCGGCCGTTACAAAGTAGTAGTAGTTGTCAGATATGTTGTATCATCTCGATTGTTTCTTTTATTTTAAAATTTGAATTCATTAGTATAAAATTATAATAACCATTTACATTAGTTCTAATGGGTTTTCAAATGTACGGCCTTGGTGTTGCTTACTTATAACGAGCGACATTAGGCGAGTACCTTTTTTTTTTTTTTTGTTTTTGATCAGGCAAGTTTTATAACAACACATACACGTTCTACATATTATTACTGGTAAGACACTCTGTGCCGCTGTGGCTGGCAAAGTTCAATTTTTGTTTTTCGTTATGATGCTCATCAGGTCACTGGACCCTTGGAACTCATCACCTAAAATATTTATTGCAAATTAATGTCTCTTTAATTAAATACGTGTTCAGCAACGGTCTGCAGAAATAGATTCTATTTTAATATATTCAGGTCGATAAGGAGAAGATTTCTGGTCACTACATATCAATTCAATTATATGTAAAATTCCAATCTAAATGAGTGAGTAACAAACACGTAATCACTTTGTTGTTTCAATATTCATAGTTAGCTTCGATATACAGAAAGAAACGTAAGTGTTTACCTATTGCTTTAATTTCGTGTTCTTTTTTCATCTATGTTTTAATGTTTCCAAAACAATGTTATAATATATATGGAGTCTATCAACCTAAAGTAGCATATCGTTTGTCCTCAGACTTTCTTTTCACATTTTAACGAGAATGAGGATGGAGAGACTGAATTATTTGCCACATAATAAGTTGAATTCATTGCTCTTGTTAATACGCTTTGCTTTTTCCATTAGTTTACCGGCTTCTCCGTGATCAAAGTTGTTGAATAAATGATTTAATTACCGGTGAGTATCGGCATGTCCTTTTCTATCTTAATATGTTCGTATATCCTTTATCTTTATGTATCGTTACATTTAACAATACAATTCATTTACTTATTCGATAATACTAATGTTCTGATTACATAGGCTAAACTGCTTTGTATCATTTCTGTGATTGGCTTTAGCCTATCGGATTTGATGTAGCACCCCGGTGAACTTCGTCTGGCAACTGACAAAGTTTTAATTAATAGGCTCTAAAAGGCTCTTTGATAGCAATCGGGTTTAATGTTAATTTTTCAGACCGTTTTTGGATATGATTAATGAAGAACTGTATTTTGTACAGATTATGCAGATTATGCAAATTGGTTCAAAATTTTCTCTTTATAGCCTGTTATGATGTCCCTTTGCGTAGTTTGTCTTACTACAGAGTGTAATTGATTTAATTTAGTAGTTGATTTAGTGGTTTATATTTACTCGCTAGTTTGTTTTTTAGTTCATCTAATGTTGTTGGAACGTCATTTATAAGTGGCGTTTGTATTTTTGCAACCAGCTGACGAAATGGTTTATTCTACTAATTGTGTTTTTTCTTCAGTTGTGAAGGGGTACCGGTTTATGTTAATATCTGTTCAATTGACATTGACCAGCTCATCTGACCTGCACTATAGCCATGGTATGAATATGATCTTATACTAATGTTGTTATATTTCATGTCCATCCGTTAATTTGTGAGACAACAAATCGGCATCTGTTTCTTGTTCACGTCTATCACATGTCCGTTAGTCCGTGCTTGTATTTTTCTGGCCGTAATGGTAATACTACGTCTCTTACTATGCATACATTCTCACGCTACTGCAATGAAAGCGTTACTAATATATATATGTATATAATAATATTTCATTGCTAATTTGTTTCTAATCTGGTAGATGGACTAACGTGTCTGGAGTGTCTCGAATTGACCGTAATCACTCCCAAGAAGCGAAAGTGTGCATCACTGTTTCTAATGCGAGCTTCTCGTTTAGATTTTGTTCATGTCATGCGACCGTTGTCGTGGACTCTAGGCATTCATTGCATTTTTTACGAATGCACTCGTTTATGGCATGGCTGGCAATAAGTCGTAGTACTTGATCTGTGTATTTGTCTGTATCTTTTAATTGCATTTGTTGTGTACATTTTTTATTTATAAATTTGCTATTTGTTGGTTTGGGATCTGTTTTGGACAACGTTAGCGCTTTTTTCGATTCAAACGAATAAACGGGATTTTCTGTAAAATAATAGTCTAATGACTTCAATTCATTAGTTCCAATGTCAACAATAAGCTGACGGCCTATAAAAATAATAACCTCCATACTTGAAAGGTGTACATAGAAAATTGTCAAAAAGCAAAAGAAAATTGCAAAAAACCAAATCAAAAGAAAACTAATAATAATTTACTTAAAAAATTAAAACTCGAGAAAAGAGAAAAAGTTCAAAAATTTGTGGAAAAAAAAATGTATTTATAACTTTCATACTATTTTAGGGTTAAATAATGCTAAATGTTTTGAGGCTGCAAATAGGTGTTAGGCTTGCTTGTGCTGTGGATAAGCTTGCCAGTTTGCCAGGCGCCCTACAAGATATCTGTATTTCCTGGGTCGTTTTCATTTCTTTAAGTTTAATTTTCTTGCAAATTAAGTAATCACGAATAGTGTTTTCGCAGTTGAGCACCATCCATATGCCGCTGTTGGTGGAGCTTCGGTGAAAGACGTTCGCGAACTTCGTCAGCATCACAATTAAGTCACACGTCCTTTGCGCTTTCGCACCGTCGTTTGCTATCTCCTTGTTGTGTATTGCCGCTTGAAGGATAGCGCCTCGTATATCGTTCAGCATCTTAACTGCAACGACAAGCCCCCATGATACGCTATATAACAACATGCAGCCTCTCCGGTCCCACAAAGCACCTAATAAACGTGGATAATCATATATTAATCACACGCGATATGTGGCGTCGTCTGTCCGCTTTCTGCTGCATATGCCGTTAACAAAACTTGCGACCATTTCTTTGTTTCCGGCATACATCATCATACTCTCCTCCTATATAAACTTGTCATCTCAGCATGTTTGTTTGCATGATGTCACTTCTCGGCGTACCAGTCCCGTCAGTCCTACAGTAGTTGTCAGACTTGCTAACACATCATCTATGGATGGTAAATTCCTATTTAACACGCCCCCTTCCTCAAACCCAAAGAAGCCCTCCATCACTAAACGCATACTTTCGTCTATTTTTCTTTCACGGTCGAGTTGTTTTTTAATCGTCTCCGAGGCCCGCTAAACCCCAATTCATTCGCATAGGTACGCGCCATGAACTGTGCGATAAATCGAATTTGTCTGAGAAAAATATTCTATTTCTGAAAAATATAAATTTTTTTAATTTCTTTTATTTAATTCATTTTCGCAAATCGTTCACTTCCTGCAACTTCTATGTCCACTTCTAAAATAAATTTAAATTTATGTAAATATCGATTTG